CCAAACCCTCACGCAATATATATATACGTATATATACATATGCTACAATTTAGGTCCCCAAGACCATAAAAAGGATGGGCTTTTGGGGCTTAATTCCATGACTGTAGTATATATGGACCCTCTGGGAAAGCCCCTAAAGCCCTAAACCTTTAGCCCCTAAAGCGCTTCATTGGGCCCTAAGGCCATGCACCCTCCCTTCGCTTGGTCTGATGAGGCCTTATGACTACCTCCTCGGCACGCAGACCCGAGAAGCACTGCAGGTGCTTGGGTGTAAGGTTGAGGGTTTCATGTTTTGGTGTGCAAGATCGGACACATCCAGACACTCTTCATTCGGTAACTCCTGCACCTTGGATCTCGCCACCCCGGGGACACATTATAAGGTTTTCCTAGATCCCCAGCGAAACAGAGGCCCTGGTCTGGTCAAGCATGTCTAAACCCTGTAGGCTTTACAATGCCACCCTGCTCGGCTCACCAACCCCTAGTCTCAAGACAAGCCTAGGTGCCCCTCAAGAACAGCATCCTCATCTTCGACGAGGGTCACAACATCGAGCCGCGTCCTTGGATACGGTTTGCAAGTTCGGCGTTTTAGGGGGTCCAGGATGATAGGTGCAGAGAGCGGTTTAGCAGATGCATTTCGGTGAGAGATAAAATAGAAGCCTAAGTTTTTACCAATACTATTGTTAGGGTTCCTGATTATACATATACTACGCAAGAGCCCACAACCCTATTCTAATTATTCAGGCCCCACACTAATTCTATTAGGGCACGTTAAAGAATCAAAGCGTCTCGGAGCTTGTCATGAACTCACCGACTGATGTAAACCCGTGGTCAATACCCACCCGACCCATCCCGTCTCTTGATGGGGTTGGTTGCGGGCCCGTGGTATCAATGAAGGGGCCCCTAAATTACCAATATACTAGTTTGGGGGCTCCTTATTCTAAGTATAGTATACTGGGCGCCAAAACCCTGTTCTAACCATTAAGTCCCCAATATTACACTGCCTCAACCCGCTCAACAAGAAAAGGCTCGAAACGCTGCCCGAAGCCCTGTTAGGGTTTGGGGCTTTAGGGATTGTGGTGAGACCCTGAGCCCAACACCACTATATAGCCTAAGCTATCCCTAGACTAGACCCTAAACCCTAAACCCTAAACCCTAAACCCTAAACCCTTAACCCGAAACCCGAAACCCTAAACCCTAAACCCTAAACCCTAAACCCACAAACCCTAAACCGAGCAGGCGGTCCTGTGAAGAAATCGCTTCTTTCGAGCTCAGCCAGGCGCTCCGGCTCCGCGGGACCTTCCGTTCTATACGTTGTTTTCTGTATTACCGGTGGGGGGGGGTGTTAGGGTGTAGGCGCTTTTGGTTTCTGGGGTTGAGGCTTTAGGGGTCGAGGGTTGAGAGTTTCGATTAGAAGGCCTTGGGGTTTAAGTTGGCAGCATTCTCTCGTCTTTGTGCAAAGTAGTTCATGTCCGGGCCCGAAAGCTTGCCTAAAAGGGCCTAAAGCCTTATAAACCCTAAGCCCTCTAGACCCTGCCTTACTCAAGTCCTTGTAAAGCGCTAGATTCCGCTAGATCCTCAGTCACGGCAGGCCGACATTGCCGGGGCCATCTCTGAGATTGATGACGCTTTCGACCTCGTGGAGACACAAGACAGCAGGGAGGTGTACTATAGGGGCCTTAATCATCACCTATACTCCTATACTATTGTGGGGGTTCCTTATTGTAATTATAGTATAATTGGCCCCAAAACCCGGTTCGAATTATTAAGACCCTGCATTAGTTTGGGGTTCAGAGTTTGAGGCTTTGGGGCTGTAGGGTTGAGCTCTGAGCCAGGCCCCGAAGCTTACTGCCTTTAGGTATTGAAGTCTTTGCTAGGCGCTGTACATCAAGCTGCAGTTTTCTGGGTGAATGTTCACGGTTGGCATTGATTTCGAATCAAGCATTGTCAGTCGTCATAATGCAGACCACTGGTTATCTGTACACGATTCCCGTGGTCCGCCTCGGCCCGGTCGAAGGTGAAAAGTAGCAGCCGCGGTCAGAATCTCTGGTTGTTGGGGCTTGGAAGCCAAAATCCAAGTGGTCGGGTCATTGTCTGGGAAAGAGGTTCGAATAGGCCGCTTCGGCTGGGCAGGGGCGGAGGCAATAAACCCTTTGCTTTTAAGCGTTTTGTATTTACAGCAGGGATCCCTTAAGAAGGAAGTTCATAAACCAGGGGCTTACACTACATCCGAAGCGTTTTTGATTCAGGAGAGGCGAGGTGGACGATGAGGTCCTCAAGGACATGGGGTCTCCGAGCGTGAAGCATAGCTTGAATACATCTAGGGTGGAACATGACGCCGATACAGCTGATGGACGGACTCCGGCATGACGCCGACTAAGGGGTATACTATGACTTCCAGAGACTAAGTTTGTAGTTGAAGCAATGCATTTTTTGTGCGACCGCCAGTGCTCATGAGTTGGCATAGCCAGATTACCCCGAAGGGTGGAGCTGTCCGCCCTGTAGTCCTGATTAGTAGCCCCCTTCTACTTGGTTTGTTCCTCATATTACTTTGGGGGTGTTGAATGGCGTGCCACTGTTCTGAAAACTCTACTGGGAGGGTGCTGAGCCCTTGCTTCCGAAAGCTTGGACTACTGCTACTGTTGCAAAGCTTGCGAGCGTTCCTGCCAGGACGTGCCCTGCGAGACGTTCTTGACGCTTGCCTAAACCAGAAGTACCAAATCATGGTGGTTCCTGCCCCTGAAGCCGAAGGTTCATATTGCTAATTAGCGGTGAGAGGTGAGATATATACAGGCCAGTGCAGCATGGGACAGGGACAGCTGCTTTCTCGTTGGGCCACTCTAAGCATCCTCAGCCCTTGAGAACGACAAGGCTTTCCCACATCTCCAATCTCGACCGGAAACTGGTCCGAAAGCCTAAAAGAAGGTACTTGCACCCTAAGACACCACTCCCTGAGTAAGACCCCCAGGCAACCTAGGCCCCGATCCTAAAATTAACACACAGAAACCATCACACTAAAGCCCAAACACACAGGAAGCATCTCAATGTAGCCGAGCACTCTACACCCCGACCCGAAACCCCAAAATTCCTGGACACCCGAGCTCTAACACCCCAGAGCCTCCAACTTCAACCTTACCCCAAGCCGTGGAAAGCTTGAGCCCAGGAAGCATCTGATCCTCTGCAGCTTCTCCAACTCCTAAGCATCCAGATAAACTCAACCCCACACCGTCAATCCTGCATCCTCATAAGTAGGCAAAACAACAACCACCGAAAGCTGCACCCGAAACTCTAGCCGGTAAACAAAACCAACAACAAGCGCAGAGGAAGCATCTGAACCTCTGCGTCCTCTGCGGAACTTTTAGGCTTTCAGCAGCCAGGCAGGGCTAAACGCTGAACCCTAAACTCCAACCGGCAAGAAGCCCAAAAACGCCCAGGAAGCATCTGAACCTCTTCAAGAAGCACCTTTTTGGGCTCGAAGACTCCATCTCTGCCGAGAAGCTCGAAAAGGACGACTGGTCCGAAATGGTCGCGATATGAGTTTTTTTTACCAAAAGCTCTACCAGGCGACTCTACCAGCTACTATAAGGCTACGAGTAGCGTAACTATAAGACTACTATGGCTCTTTTACGGCAACGATAAACAACGTAAAAACTTATATACCTACAAGGGTGCTCCTCCAGACTGTGTGCTCTATAGGCTTTAGGGTTTCCTGCACTTCAGTTTCAGGCCATTTTGGTAGTAACAAAGGGTCCGATCGTGGAGTACGGCAGGTTTCAAGAATTTGTATTGCTGACTGCTTGGGGTATCCGGTCTTCAAGGGTTTGGGGGTTCGGGGTTTTCAGGGTTGAGGGTGTATGGTTCTAGGCTATTCAGAGGCCTCATGTTCTGTACATAGTTTGCTTCCATAAACATCGCTGCCGCAACATACCATACTGCCCTAAGCCAAAAACGTCCGAAACAAAACTTAGCGTTGGCCTTCGCACAGAAGGCCATCGACACGAATGTATTGTACGGGTCTCAGTTGACAATACTTTTACGTCTACTATACGCAAGCATCTCATGTTTGTTTCAATGACTGTACCATGGTGTATACCCTCAAATGATTCCCGTGGGTTGCCTGCAGGCAAGTAGTAGGAGATACATATATGTATATGTATATATATATATATATAGACACCTTTAGTCAACAGCATGCCATCGAGCTCACATACACAGAGAACAGGCTTCTATGCTCCAAGCCTCAATGTAAAACGCCTCGACTCCCCAGACCGTAACCCCAAGCCCGAAATGCCCAAACCCCAAATCCGAAGCCTCCAAACCTTCAGCCTTGTACTATAGGGGCCTCAATAGTTACCTAGATTGTTTTGGGGGTTCCTTATTGTAATTATACTATAAAGGACCCCCCCAAACCCTATTCTAATTAGTATGGTCCCTATATTAATCTCTGACTCTAAATCCCCAAGTTGCCGGAACTCTCCAAACCGTAAAAACCCCAAAAAACGACGAGCAATGCTCAGCTGAAGGATGCTGCCGCTGACCGTTCCATCTTCAAGGCTTTCAGTTTGCTTCCTGTGAGTTTCTTGGTTACAATGTAAGGGCCTTAATACTTACCTATACTATTGTGGGCATTCCTTATTATAATAAATGTAGTTTATTGGGCCCCTAAACCTTATTTAAGTATTAAGGCCCCTAGATTAGTCATCCTATTGTAGCGTTGTAGAGCCGTTACTAGGAACCTTTATGCTCACTCGCGTAGGAACCTTGTGGTAGCTTCAAAGAGCCCTTCTCGTGACCCTTATTCACTTATAGTAGCCTTGTAGTGGTTTCTCAGTAGCGGTTCTTGAGGCAGTTGAAGCCCTGCCGCTTTATGGAGCTTAGGGTTCTTAGGCTTTCGGTTGGGGTTTGGAGAAGTAAGGAATATCGGAGGGTCTCCGAGTTTAGGGATTCGGAGCTTAGTTGTAGGGCTTCAGCGTTCCAGCTGTGGTAGGTTTGTCGGGTTACTTCAGAGGTTTGGGTTTAGGGATCAGGGTTTATGGGCTTTCAGCTGGCAGTTGACTGTGCCAGGGCACTGCATTGCAAGTATAAGCATTACAGCCCCAAACCCCCCCAAGCAGCCCTAAACCCTAAACCCTAAACGCTGAAAACGTCAAACCCGAAAGCCCTACCCAACACCTGCCCAAACGGTTGCGGAACCGTGAGGGGACCTTCGTTACAATGCGTAGACGAAGTGACGAACTCTAGACCGCTATATTGAACCCTAATAAATACAACCCTTATAAAATCCTGTAAGCCCCAAACCCTATAAACCCCATAAGCGATAAATATTAAATATGCCCTAAACCCTGAACCCTATAAGCCTTATAAACTCTATAAACCCTGCAATGTGCCCAAAGCCTACACCCTTACAGAACCTGTCCAGGCCCGGGGAGGCCATGTTCTCGATTTGCTCTTGCGGCAATCGGAACGCGGCTTCGGCACTGACAAAGAGGAGGGCAGAGGGTTTCGTTAAAGCCCCAAAGCCTGAACTTGAAGACTATGCAGTACAGGCTATGGAGAGATGCACATGCAGATATGCACATAATTGTGTATGTATGTATGTATGTATGTATGTATGTATGTATGTATGTATGTATATACGTTTGTATGTATGTATGTATGTATGTATGTATGTATGTATGTAAGTATGTAAGTAAGTATGTATGTAAGTATGTATGTATGTACAGAGCGTGACAATCAAAGACCTGGTTTGACAAGCTTTCTGGGAGGCCCGGTGATTTGTCGTCGATGTTCCAATCGGGCTGCAAAGAACTGGGCCTGGAGTTTGCGCTTCCTTTGGATGGGTGGACTGTCAGGAAGCCTTTAGGACCCTGCAGTTGGAGAAGATAGGCTGTGAGGCTTTGGGTCGAGGGTCTGGTCCAAGGTTTACATCGCAGTAGCCTGAGCAGCCTTTAGTGTAACCATTTTGGGGTCTTGCTGCGGCTTTAAAATCCCAACAGTAGCCTGTACTTCCGCTAGGAATCTGGAGGGGTAAGCATGTCGAGGTTAGCAATCGCATGTCCCATTTTTGTCTCAGCTCTAAACCTCACTTGGACGCTCTTTCAATTGATAATGTAGGAATTGCCGGAAGGGCTGCGGGGATTCTTACATGGTCGGAACCATAAGAATAGGGCTCCAGGGTCACCACAAGCGATACCATAGGGGATTGTACGAAGGTTCTACGATGTATTGTGCTATGGAGACACAGAGTAGACATAGGGGACCCTGAACAAGTCAACATCCTCTAAACCCTAAACCCTAAACCCTAAACCCTAAACCCTAAACCCTAAACCCCAAACCTAAACCCTAAACCCTAAATCCTCAACATCTAGAGCCGGAGTCCCGAAACAGTTTAGCCCTTCCAGTCAAAACCCCTAGAGAAACCGCAGAAACCTCGAGGCCCTAAACCCATAGGCCCCATAGTAGTTCCTTTTTGGGGTTCATATTTAGAATCCTATAAGGTAATCCCAAAAAGGAACTACTATGGGGCCTATGGCTAAACTCCTTTTTGGGGTTCATATTCAGAATCCTATAAGGTAATCCCAAAAAGGAACTACTATGGGGCCTATACCCTAAACCCTAAA